TCTAGCCCATGTACTCTTTTATAAACATATTTACTGTGATGGAAGCAGAATGAATCTTCTGGGAGATTCCTGACTTACATAAACGAATAGGTTATCATCTCGTTTAGATTTCTAGAGCTAAATGGTCCAATATTTTAAATATGATTTATAATTGATTCTGATAACATCCAGTTGAGGGGTATTTATGTGGGTGTTTTGTCTGCTTGCTGATGTTTATTTTTGGAAAATTATAATCCAGTAATTATTGGCACAAACCGCTTGAAACTAGAATTGATAAGAAAATTCTGGCACATTATCTTAGTGGGCTGTCCAAGTCAGTGGGACGATAATGTGGCCAAAGCTAGAAGATGTTGATTCTGGGTTGGCCGTACAAGTGTGGCCAACACTAGAGAGGAAGATGTTGATTCTGGGTTGGCCGTACAAGTGTGGCCAACACTAGAAGAGAAGATGCTGATTGTGTCTCCAGAAAGAGAGCGGTCCTGGCTTAATGGGATAAACTTATAAAGTGGTGTAAGCATATATATGTTGTCTGTGGTCTTATGTTGTCTCTAGTCTCTTACATCTTATGTTGACTTTGGTGTCATGTTTGTGGTCTTATGTTGATTGTGGTTTCATGTTCATTGTGGTCTCATTTTTATATTGTCTCATGTTCAATTGTTGTCTCATGTTGTGAACGTATTCCTCTGTTTACTGATGCCCCATCAAAACTGCTGTCCTTTATTATATTTTAGTTTTGTCCTCACCCCATTTAAACTTCAGTCAGCCCAATATCGACTCACCATGTTCAAGCGGATGATTTGCCTGATCTAATGTTTCCGTTCCATTCCGAACCAGATCAGCACTTAAGATCGAACCCCAATCAATAAATTCAACTAAGCGACTTGTAACCCAGCGTTCGATCCCATGATGGGATCGCCTGGGATCGCCAAGAACAAAACGTCAAGAAATCAATGTCTGCTCGCTACAAACAACACGTGCTCGTACATTCCTCGTGCACTCAGAGCGGATGTGAGTGAGTACACAACAGCACAACGGAGCCGCATCAAATAATATTTGTTGGGTGTGTTTTTAGTTTTCTTTCATCGATTCCAAGTTTACCTTTAGCACTCTAAGAAGGGTCAGAGCTTAAAAAAAAGAATATTTGAAAAAAAAAGTCGGGTCCTAGCTCTAGAGATGATTGACACAGGTTGTTAAACGTGTGCAGAGAAAAGTGCGTTGTGGGCAATACATGACACGTGACAATCGTAGGTTCAATCCGTTTAGTAAAGGGGTCAGTATACAAACGTAAGCTGCACGCACAATTTGAGATGTACAGTGTACAATTATTTATGCGAAACAGAACACTGTTTTATTGGAATTCGTCTGTACTAATGTATACAAATAAATGCGCGTGTCGGTTAATTAACAAACAAACCGCACGGCAAATTAAAAAGGACATTATGGTAATTAAAACAAGAACATCTTGGAAACTAAAAACAAAGTGATTGTTATGACTTTAGTTCAAATCCATTATTATTCAAACTAGAAAGAACCTCTTTAAAAAATAAAAGAAAACGTCATGAATTCTTCATAAACGATCACCATTAATAGTTCAACAGAGATCATCATGAAAATGTCAACAATGCACGTCCATAAAATGTTAACGCTGCACGTCATGTAAAATGTCAACAAAGAACATAAAGAAAATATGAACAAAGAGCATCATGAAAACGTCAGCAAAGAATCACATGAAAATATAAGCAAAGAACATCATGAAAACATAAACAAAGAACTTCATGAAAATATTAACAAAGAACGTTATGAAAACATTAACAAAGAACATTATGAAAACATTAACAAAGAACATCATGAAAATGTTAACAAAGAACGTTATGAAAACATTAACAAAGAACATTATGAAAACATTAAGAAAGAACATCATGAAAACATTAACAAAGAACATCATGAAAACATTAACAAAGAACATCATGAAAACATTAACAAAGATCATCATGAAAACATTAACAAAGAACATCATGAAAATGTTAACAAAGAACATAAAGAAAACAAACAAAGAACATCATGAAAACGTCAACAAAGCACGTCACACACCCGCATGCGGGGACGCCATGTGGTGATGTTGTTGAAGCCCAACAACATCGGAAAACGCCGGCCACAAAAGCACAGAGTACAAGAACCCCTGCCAGTGCTAGATCACCTCAAGGTAACATGAGCACAGCCCTCCACAAATATCCTAGACAATGTAATGAATGCAGAAAAACAACACCTAAATACAGCTGTACAATTTGTGTTGACGAAAACGAACCAAATAATACATATTTAAAAGACCACAGGAATTAGCGCGTCAGACCGCAGCAATTGCTTGCGTCGGTTGGAAATAAATGGCACCTTTTTGTTCATAAATTGTTTTCGGCATTTGGTTGATTACTGTTGGCTATTTATAGTATCAAGTAACATGAATTAGTTCGTCTGCAAAAAAAAAGAGACGCAGGGGAATAACAAGAATTATTAGAAGGACTTCGTTAAAAAAGTAATTAGATTATTTTGGCACCAGTTTTCCGAAGGTTTAAAAATACACTGACCTCGATGTAGACTATGTTTAAAATATACGTCATCGTTCTTCATGTAGGAAAAGAAATACTATTAATAGTAACGTCATTGCTTGAAATTAATGGAAAGTGAAATGTTAACTGGCGTCTTACAATGGCCGCGTGGTATGACGCGCGCCTTTATGATTGTTTTTGTTTTTTAATGAACCCCTAAAGGGAGACAATTTAGTAATAAAATTAATGTTTTTCTTATAACATTTTCATGTTTTAATTTAATAACCTGTTAATGTAACTCTTTTAGAATAATTAGCGTCCTTTTATATCTGGATATAACTATTTTTTATAATTAAAAAAAAAGATTAATTTGAAGCACTTCACAGCTACAAAAATATAGGGCCTACAACAATAACATTTTGTTGACTGCAAATTTATGAAGGGCAAATGAAGGGAGATTATGAACATCCGAATAAGAGTGTGCCACGATTTTATGGTCTAAAACAAAACAAAAAGTGTGTCAAGATTTGATGTTTCAAATTAGGGCATGAGAACCGTAAAGAAGTATAAATATAGGCTATAATTGGAAAATATACATACCAGGAAAACAACGTTTCGCAGTAGATTACACAATTAGAAATCTTACAGGTACCGAAAAAGATTTTTTGACCATCTACGAAATGGGATATATCAGCTCTGTATAACATGTTGGGTCAGATCTATACAACATCTAAAACTGTATGGGATATATCGGCTTTGTGTAAAGTGTTTTGTCAGATCTATATAACGTCTATAAAACTGTATGGGATATATTGGTCCTGTATAAAATATTTTAAATGAACTAGTTTAGGGAACTAGAATGTATTTAGTTGTATTTTTTTGTTTTTTTTCAGGTTGACGGTCGTTCGTTGTTAAAGCTAGCAACCACCGCTCAGAGGCGTAGCGACCCTTCCCGGCGCCCGGGGACAAACTTTCGATTTGCACCCCTCCCCCCTCGAACTTTTCATTTGCACCCCCCCCCCTCAAACTTTCAATTTGGCGCCCCCCCCCTAAGGTCGGCGCCCGGGGACATATGTTCCCCCGCCCCCCCCCCCCTCGCTAAGCCTCTGCCACCGCTTTCCCTCGCCCGTCTATTTATCCCCTCTCACTCTCTCTCACACAAACACACTCTGTCCCCTTCTATCCCCTCTACATTCCCTCACATTCTCTCTATTTTAGCCAACCCTACTCTTGACCTTGAAAACAAATGAACCGTTAAAAATTCTTTCACATTTTCTCCCACTCTCACATCAATTAAAAGTTAAAACGGGTGTGAAAAAAACAATTCAACCACACAAAAAGAGCAGTAATTTTTTTTAGCTACACACCATCACCCGAGTTCCAGCACAGAAAGGGTAATGGCTGCTTGGCCGGAAGTCGGGCTGTACCGGAAATACTGCCTTCACTGGCGTCACACGTTGCCATTGTCGGCCATATTGTTTTAGTCGGCAGTTGCTTTTTGGGTCACTTCCACTTGAGTCTGGCCTTGCCAGGACAGCAAAATGATGCCAATTTGGTGTGGAAGCTTTAAGCGGGCTGTTGGCTGCTCTTAAAGGGGAGAGGGGGGAGGGGGGGATGACGGAGAACAGAAGACATTGTCTCAAGCAGGCTAGAATAGAATTTATTGAAATATCTGAAGCTATAGTAAAGTTTGTGACAACATCAACCACACCGTAACACTTGGTCAGCTACTGCAAAGGATAAACACAATGTGACAAAGGAGAGTGAGTAGCCGTAGCCACACATATGTAGTGTAGTTCCAGAAACACAATAGGTGTATAGTTGCATATAGTAAACGGTAACCTGGCACATTCATATTATTTTAATGCGAAGAAACTAATTTAGAAGAGAAATATATTCTAGGCTTGAGGGTAACAAGTAAACATTGTTGTAATATGGGCAATGGAAGTCAGATCTACAAATAAAATAAAAAATTATGATATTTGTATGATTAAAGTACGAATACTAGAAATACATATTAAATTTTCGGCAATTTGTAATATAGTATGAATTAAAACAACAAAATCAATAATGATGTGTTACTATTTTTTTATACCAGGGGAGTTAATCCAGCATTTAAATATTTGTTATTTTTGAAGCGGTTACCTAACATGCGTGTGATCCAGTCGGTATATCAAAAAATTCAAACAAAAATGTTGACATAATAGAAGTTTGATAAATAAAACATTTATTAGCTGGGTAAAGCTTCAACATATAAGTGGATTCTCGAGAAAATTTTGTTACCACAATAAAATTCCTGGATTGTTGCCTGTATGTTGTCCAGATCTGTCAAAGAGTTGACTTCAGTGTGTGCTTCTGTGTGTATTTAAATTAGACATATAAAACACACATATTGCCGTCTCTGAACGTACAGACACACAATAAATTCAACAGATGTGTACAAGTGTATGTCAAATATTTTAAAATTTATTTTGAAAAAAAAATATGGCATGTTGAAAACAAAAATGTGTTTCTCATCTACACATTAAATGACCAATAAAGCGTAAACAATACATACATGAGAGTGATAAGGCAATTCATAACTAACAGTTAAGCTGGCAGTTTGATATAATACAATAAGTCAAAATAAATTGAATTACAGGCAGCAGCTATGCTTGTTATCTTCGCTACACAGAACTGTTTACTATAAATAGCCTTGACCTATAGAACCATGTTCACTGTAAACAACCTTACATGTTTACTATAAACAGCCTTGACCTGTAGCACAATGTTCACAATAAAGAGCCAACAAAACCTGGAGATGCCAGCCCTGCATTTAGATGCTACATCTCATTTAAATTGATAAGACAATGATTTAATAAAACAATCATTTTACACTAATAAAATACTTTTATTTGAGATAAAGCAAACTTCAAGCAATTAGGCCTAGCCATACTGGAGGCCTCAAGACAATAATCAAACTTTAAATAAGATTTGAAATCTAGTTTAGTCTAGAATGTCAGTGCTGTATACAGAATGCCAGTGCTGTTTACAGAATGTCAGTGCTGTATACAGAATGCCAGTGCTGTATACAGAATGCCAGTGCTGTATACAGAATGCCAGTGCTGTATACAGAATGCCAGTGCTGTATACAGAATGCCAGTGCTGTATACAGAATGCCAGTGCTGTATACAGAATGCCAGTGCTGTATACAGAATGCCAGTGCTGTATACAGAATGCCAGTGCTGTATACAGAATGCCAGTGCTGTATACAGAATGCCAGTGCTGTATACAGAATGCCAGTGCTGTATACTGAATGCCAGTCCCCACACTGTGTGACATTTCAGAATCAGACAGCAAAAAGTGAAGTATCATCAATTATTGTTCTGACAGATCAATATAAACATAAGGATTTCACAAAAAGCCCAGCATGGCTTGAAAATGTAATATTTTGTAATCTATTTCAATAGCTTGATTGACTGCAAACATAAGAAAAAAACAACACAACAAATTTCAATTGTAGTAAATCACCAAGAGTTGCTCCACAAGATCTACAACTATGTAACTACAATATAACACAACAGTTGAGTGGCAGAAAAAAGGATGAAATGGCCATGAAAGATCTTTGTGTCATTTAGATCAACAATCTGGTGTCATCTGTGAGTCTGTAACCTTTGACATGTGACATCTGTCTATAGTTTGAGGGGTTGGTCTATGAGCTGACACCATCATGTAGAGAGGAGGGCGTGGAGGGTTGTAGCAGAGGAAGCTGCGGACACTACCGGACTCATCACAATTGTTGCGTATTCATTGATTGCCTGGGAGATAGACATCACATCTTTCATACTCCACATTTATCTTGTTTATATAAATAAAATGAACTCTTTGTGTTAATATTGTCTAGAAATAGCCAAATTGATATCAATGTGTATTGTTCTATATTTACAAAAAGCTTACGTGATATAGAAATGTTCTATATTTACAAAAAATTTACATGATATAGAAATTTGTAATATTCCATGTTTACACAAAACTTATGTGATATAAAAGTGTGCTTTGCTCTGTTTATGTTAACTTACGTGATATAGAAGTGCATATTATTCTAAATTAACACAAAACTTATGTAGAAATATGTATTGTTCTGTGTTTACACAAAACTTACATGATATAGAAGTATGTTCCATGTTAACACAAAACTTACATGATATAGAAGTATGTTCCATGTTAACACAAAACTTACATGATATAGAAGTATGTTCCATGTTAACACAAAACTTATATGATATAGAAGTATGTTCCATGTTAGCACAAAACTTACATGATATAGAAGTATGTTCCATGTTTACACAAAACTTACATGATATAGAAGTATGTTCTGTGTTTATACAAAACTTATGTGATATAGAAGTGCGTATTGTTCTGTGTTTATACAAAACTTACATGATATAGAAGTGTGTATTGTTCTATGTTTATACAAAACTTACGTGATATAGAAGTGCATATTGTTCTTTGTTTTGGACAGCTCCCGCCCTCTCTTGCCGCATGTTGTAGACTGTCCTGAGGACGTCAACATTACGACCAGACTCAAACTGGCTCATACACAGATCCAGGGCTACAAACGTACAGGTCCTGCCTGTCCCCGGGCTGAGGAGGATGGTCAGCATTTTTGTGTCACAGTGAAGATTTAGAGTTTAGATTTATCTCACAGAGTTGGTTTAGAGTTTAGATTTGTGTCACAGTGAAGATTTAGAGTTTAGATTTATCTCACAGAGTTGGTTTAGAGTTTAGGTTTGTGTCACAGTGAAGATTTAGAGTTTAGATTTGTGTCACAGTGAAGATTTAGAGTTTAGATTTATCTCACAGAGTTGGTTTAGAGTTTAGATTTGTGTCACAGTGAAGATTTAGAGTTTAGATTTGTGTCACAGTGAAGATTTAGAGTTTAGATTTGTGTCACAGTGAAGATTTAGAGTTTAGATTTATCTCACAGAGTTGGTTTAGAGTTTAGATTTGTGTCACAGTGAAGATTTAGAGTTTAGATTTGTGTCACAGTGAAGATTTAGAGTTTAGATTTATCTCACAGAGTTGGTTTAGAGTTTAGATTTGTGTCACAGTGAAGATTTAGAGTTTAGATTTGTGTCACAGTGAAGATTTAGAGTTTAGATTTGTGTCACAGTGAAGATTTAGAGTTTAGATTTGTGTCACAGTGAAGATTTAGAGTTTAGATTTATCTCACAGAGTTGGTTTAGAGTTTAGATTTGTGTCACAGTGAAGATTTAGAGTTTAGATTTATCTCACAGAGTTGGTTTAGAGTTTAGATTTGTGTCACAGTGAAGATTTAGAGTTTAGATTTGTGTCACAGTGAAGATTTAGAGTTTAGATTTGTGTCACAGTGAAGATTTAGAGTTTAGATTTGTGTCACAGTGAAGATTTAGAGTTTAGATTTATCTCACAGAGTTGGTTTAGAGTTTAGATTTGTGTCACAGTGAAGATTTAGAGTTTAGATTTGTGTCACAGTGAAGATTTAGAGTTTAGATTTGTGTCACAGTGAAGATTTAGAGTTTAGATTTGTGTCACAGTGAAGATTTAGAGTTTAGATTTATCTCACAGAGTTGGTTTAGAGTTTAGATTTGTGTCACAGTGAAGATTTAGAGTTTAGATTTGTGTCACAGTGAAGATTTAGAGTTTAGATTTGTGTCACAGTGAAGATTTAGAGTTTAGATTTGTGTCACAGTGAAGATTTAGAGTTTAGATTTATCTCACAGAGTTGGTTTAGAGTTTAGATTTGTGTCACAGTGAAGATTTAGAGTTTAGATTTGTGTCACAGTGAAGATTTAGAGTTTAGATTTGTGTCACAGTGAAGATTTAGAGTTTAGATGTGTGTCACAGTGAAGATTTAGAGTTTAGATTTATCTCACAGAGTTGGTTTAGAGTTTAGATTTGTGTCACAGTGAAGATTTAGAGTTTAGATTTGTGTCACAGTGAAGATTTAGAGTTTAGATTTGTGTCACAGTGAAGATTTAGAGTTTAGATTTGTGTCACAGTGAAGATTTAGAGTTTAGATTTGTGTCACAGTGAAGATTTAGAGTTTAGATTTGTGTCACAGTGAAGATTTAGAGTTTAGATTTGTGTCACAGTGAAGATTTAGAGTTTAGATTTGTGTCACAGTGAAGATTTAGAGTTTAGATTTGTGTCACAGTGAAGATTTAGAGTTTAGATTTGTGTCACAGTGAAGATTTAGAGTTTAGATTTGTGTCACAGTGAAGATTTAGAGTTTAGATTTGTGTCACAGTGAAGATTTAGAGTTTAGATTTGTGTCACAGTGAAGATTTAGAGTTTAGATTTGTGTCACAGTGAAGATTTAGAGTTTAGATTTGTGTCACAGTGAAGATTTAGAGTTTAGATTTGTGTCACAGTGAAGATTTAGAGTTTAGATTTGTGTCACAGTGAAGATTTAGAGTTTAGATTTGTGTCACAGTGAAGATTTAGAGTTTAGATGTGTGTCACAGTGAAGATTTAGAGTTTAGATTTGTGTCACAGTGAAGATTTAGAGTTTAGATTTGTGTCACAGTGAAGATTTAGAGTTTAGATTTGTGTCACAGTGAAGATTTAGAGTTTAGATGTGTGTCACAGTGAAGATTTAGAGTTTAGATTTGTGTCACAGTGAAGATTTAGAGTTTAGATTTGTGTCACAGTGAAGATTTAGAGTTTAGATGTGTGTCACAGTGAAGATTTAGAGTTTAGATTTGTGTCACAGTGAAGATTTAGAGTTTAGATTTGTGTCACAGTGAAGATTTAGAGTTTAGATGTGTGTCACAGTGAAGATTTAGAGTTTAGATTTGTGTCACAGTGAAGATTTAGAGTTTAGATTTGTGTCACAGTGAAGATTTAGAGTTTAGATTTGTGTCCCAGTGAAGATTTAGAGTTTAGATTTGTGTCACAGTGAAGATTTAGAGTTTAGATGTGTGTCACAGTGAAGATTTAGAGTTTAGATTTGTGTCACAGTGAAGATTTAGAGTTTAGATTTGTGTCACAGTGAAGATTTAGAGTTTAGATTTGTGTCACAGTGAAGATTTAGAGTTTAGATTTGTGTCACAGTGAAGATTTAGAGTTTAGATTTGTGTCACAGTGAAGATTTAGAGTTTAGATGTGTGTCACAGTGAAGATTTAGAGTTTAGATTTGTGTCACAGTGAAGATTTAGAGTTTAGATTTGTGTCACAGTGAAGATTTAGAGTTTAGATTTATGTCACAGAGTTGGTTTAGAGTTTAGATTAATGTCCCAGATAGGAAGATTTAGAGTTTAGATTTATCTCACAGAGTTGGTTTAGAGTTTAGATTTATGTCCCAGATAGGAAGATTTAGTTGTTATTATTATGTTGAAGAGAAGGTTGAGAGCAGTGGCGTAGCCAGGATCGTCTCAAGGGGGGGGTTCCAATTTTTACCCGGGGACAAACTTTCGATTTGCACCCACCCCCCCCCCCCCCCCCTCAAAATTTCGATTTGCACCCCCCCTCATACTTTTTTTATATACCGAGGGGTCTATGGGGGGGTTATGACCCCCCCCCCCCTAACCCCCCCTGCCTACGCCACTGGTTGAGAGGTTACCATTATGTCACAGAAAAGGTTTAGAGGTTAGTGTTATGTCTGAGAGAAGGTTAAGGGGTTAGTTTTAGAGGTTAGTGTTATGTCTAAGAGAAGGTTAAGGGGTTAGTTTAAGAGGTTATTGTTGTGTACTAATAAAAAAAATTATATGGGAGTCTGTTAAAAAATATTTTTTTGGTACACGCTTTTAGGTAGGTTATTTTATGTCATAAAGGTTTAGTTTTGAGAATTTTTGGAGAATAGAGGCCTGTAAAACATAGATTTTATGCATGTTAGTTGTTTTTTTTTCTACATAAAAAAATATTTATTAGATGATTCACAGCAATGGCAAGCAAATTTTTCAAATATTTGTTTTACCATAAAATGTTCCAAATGATGATTATGACTGATACAGTGGGAGGTAGCCTTTACCTGCAATGTGATGATTATGACTGATACATACAATGGGAGGTAGCCTTTACCTGCAATGTGATGATTATGACTGATACAGTGGGAGGTAGCCTTTACCTGCAATGTGATGATTATGACTGATACATACAGTGGGAGGTAGCCTTTACCTGCAATGTGATGATTATGACTGATACATACAATGGCAGGTAGCCTTTACCTGCAATGTGATGATTATGACTGATACAGTGGGAGGTAGCCTTTACCTGCAATGTGATGATTATGACTGATACATACAATGGCAGGTAGCCTTTACCTGCAATGTGATGATTATGACTGATACATACAGTGGGAGGTAGCCTTTACCTGCAATGTGATGATTATGACTGATACATACAATGGCAGGTAGCCTTTACATGCAATGTGATGATTATGACTGATACAGTGGGAGGTAGCCTTTACCTGCAATGTGATGATTATGACTGATACATACAGTGGGAGGTAGCCTTTACCTGCAATGTGATGATTATGACTGATACAGTGGGAGGTAGTCTTTACCTGCAATGTGATGATTATGACTGATACATACAATGGGAGGTAGCCTTTACCTGCAATGTGATGATTATGACTGATACAGTGGGAGGTAGCCTTTACCTGCAATGTGATGATTATGACTGATACATACAGTGGGAGGTAGCCTTTACCTGCAATGTGATGATTATGACTGATACATACAATGGCAGGTAGCCTTTACCTGCAATGTGATGATTATGACTGATACAGTGGGAGGTAGCCTTTACCTGCAATGTGATGATTATGACTGATACAGTGGGAGGTAGCCTTTAACTGCAATGTGATGATTATGACTGATACAGTGGGAGGTAGCCTTTACCTGCAATGTGATGATTATGACTGATACATACAGTGGGAGGTAGCCTTTACCTGCAATGTGATGATTATGACTGATACAATGGGAGGTAGCCTTTACCTGCAATGTGATGATTATGACTGATACAGTGGGAGGTAGCCTTTACCTGCAATGTGATGATTATGACTGATACAGTGGGAGGTAGCCTTTACCTGCAATGTGATGATTATGACTGATACAATGGGAGGTAGCCTTTACCTGCAATGTGATGATTATGACTGATACATACAGTGGGAGGTAGCCTTTACCTGCAATGTGATGATTATGACTGATACAGTGGGAGGTAGCCTTTACCTGCAATGGACAATGAGAGGGTAGCCACTGTGCTCGTACTTTGGCCGTGTGTCCAGCACCAGCTTGACCAATGAGATTGGTTCTGGCACACCATGTGATGGCCAGCAGGTATACCAGAAGTGATGCACCTCTCTTTTCTCGATTTTCTGACAGATACAATACATTTAAACATTACATTTTCTGCCAGATACAATTCATTTAAACATTACATTTTCTGCCAAATACAATTCATTTAAACCATTACATTTTCTGCCAAATACAATTCATTTAAACATTAAATTTTCTGCCAGATACAATACATTTAAACCATTACATTTTCTGCCAGATACAATACATTCAAACATTACATTTTCTGTCAGATACAATACATTCAAACATTATATTTTCTGTCAGATACAATACATTCAAACATTATATTTTCTGTCAGATACAATACATTCAAACACTATATTTTCTGTCAGATACAATACATTCAAACATTATATTTTCTGTCAGATACAATACATTCAAACACTATATTTTCTGTCAGATACAATACATTCAAACATTACATTTTCTGCCAGATACAATACATTCAAACATTATATTTTCTGCCAGATACAATACATTCAAACATTACATTTTCTCTCAGATACAATACATTCAAACATTAAATTTTCTGTTAGATACAACATTCAAACATTAAATTTTCTGTTAGATACAACATTCAAACATTACATTTTCTGCTACATAAAATACATTCAAACATTACATTTTCTGTCAGATACAATACAATCAAACATTACATTTTCTGCCAGATGCAATATATTCAAACATTAAATTTTCTGTTACATAAAATACATTCAAGCATTACATTTTCTGCCATATACAATACATTCAAACATTACATTTTCTGCCATATACAATACATTCAAACATTACATTTTCTGTTACATAAAATACAATCAAACATTAAATTTTCTGCCAGATGCAATACATTCAAACATTACATTTTCTGTCAGATACAATACATTCAAACATTACATTTTCTGCTAAATACAATACATTCAAACATTATATTTTCTGTCAGATACAACATTCAAACATTACATTTTCTGCCAGACGCAATACATTCAAACATTACATTTTCTACTAAATACAATACATTCAAACATTACATTTTCTGCTAAATACAATACATTCAAACATTACATTTTCTGCTAAATACAATACATTCAAACATTACATTTTCTGCCATATACAATACATTCAAACATTACATTTTCTGTTACATAAAATACAATCAAACATTCAATTATCTGCCAGATGCAATACGTTCAAACATTACATTTTCTGCCAAATGCAATACATTCAAACATTACATTTTCTGCCAGATACAATACATTCAAACATTACATTTTCTGCCAGATACAATACATTCAAACATTACATTTTCTGCCAGATACAATACATTCAAACATTAAATTTTCTGTCAGATACAATACATTCAAACATTACATTTTCTACTAAATACAATACATTCAAACATTAAATTTTCTGCCAGATACAATACATTCAAACATTACATTTTCTGCTAAATACAATACATTCAAACATTACATTTTCTGCTAAATACAATACATTCAAACATTACATTTTCTGCCAGATGCAATACATTCAAACATTACATTTTCTGCTATTCACAATACAATTTTACAAGGAAGTATTTTTCTCTCATATTTTTCTTTAAAATATGAAACATTTAAACCATTGTTTTAAATTTGATATTTATTCTTTAAAATATAAAACTTGAATACACATGAGACCTCTGTAACACCCAAATGGAACCCACAGAGAAATCAGAGGAAAGAAAGAACTTGAATTGATTGAAAGAAATTGATTGAGGGGAAAAGGCATAACTGACATGGAGTGAGATAAAGAAATACTCTAGTCATCATGTTTGTTGTCATAGCCCTAGGTTTCATAGCATGTAAAAATGGAAAAGGAAGAAATAGAAGAGAAAGAAAAAGCAGATCATACATTATTCACTAAAATGTAATAAATTATCAGCATACAAAACTCATTAGAGATCTTTAATTAAATTTAAAACAATGATGATAAGCCAGTGTCTTACCCTCAAATGGTTGATTTCCAGGCAAGACACAATATACTCCTGGTGGATGTCCTTTTGTTTGAGTTCTATCAGGAAGTCTCCATGTTTCTGGGCAGCACTTTTACCCACCAGTTCTGGCCAGTAGGACGCACATTTCACCTGGGTTTGATGGAAAGTTTACTTAACATGAGCATTAAAATGTTGACCTGGGTTTGATGGAAAGTTTACTTAACATGAGCATTAAAATGTTGACCTGGGTTTGATGGAAGGTTACTTAACATGAGCATTAAAATGTTGACCTGGGTTTGATGGAAGGTTACTTAACATGAGCATTAAAATGTTGACCTGGGTTTGATGGAAGTTTACTTAACATGAGCATTAAAATGTTGACCTGGGTTTGATGGAAGGTTACTTAACATGAGCATTAAAATGTTGACCTGGGTTTGATGGAAGTTTACTTAACATGAGCATTAAAATGTTGACCTGGGTTTGATGGAAGGTTACTTAACATGAGCATTAAAATGTTGACCTGGGTTTGATGGAAAGTTTACTTAACATGAGCATTAAAATGTGTGCATCATAGGTTATAGATTTGTTACTTGCATCACTATGGTGTAGGGTCTATATGTTTAGGCTATAACATCAGAATACACCTAGGCAATATAAAGATTATTATCATAGGAAATAACATGAGTGTAGTTCTAGTAAATAAAATGCCTAAATATCTAGAAATTAAAATGAGATGAATCAAGGTAATAAAATGTGTATATGCATGGGAAATATGATGTGTATGTTAGGCAATAAAAATGTGTATATGTCTGGACCATGGTATATGCATTAACATAGGCACTAAAATTTAAAGCATATATACCATGTTTACACTTGCAACATGTATATAAAACATGTCTATTAAAAAAACTCGAAGAAAGTTAGTCTACATGTTCTGCTGGAAAAATGTTTTCAAAAAACACTAACTGGCAGTAAGATTTTTTCCTATAGTATAGTATACATGTCGCAAGTACAAATGCTGTATTGGAAATAAACTGTGTATACAATGCAGAAAGCTTATAAGACAGACAAGCAACATACAATGCAGAAAGCTTGTAAGACAGACAAGCAACATACAAGGCAGAAAGCTTGTAAGACAGAGAAGCAACTTACAATGCAGAAAGCTTATAAGACAGACAAGCAACATACAAGGCAGAAAGCTTGTAAGACAAACAAGCAACATACAATGCAGAAAGCTTATAAGACAAACAAGCAACATACAATGCAGAAAGCTTGTAAGACAGACAAGCAATGCAGAAAGCTTGTAAGACAGACAAGCAACATACAATGCAGAAAGCTTGTAAGACAAACAAACAACTTACATGCCCATCCTCCTGTAGCTGGGTCAACATGACAATGGCCTTGGACTGCTGCTGCCAGACCATGGTCCAGAAGTCTGTGATAGTTCCTTCTGTTGGCGCCTGTGTGGCTATGTAGTACTGATAGTTTTTGTTGGGACCCTAAAACAAAACTTGAACTTTATTGCTTCTACTTTCAATTATCAATATTAACAATGGTTATCAAGTTAATGATCATTAAAATTATATAAAATGTTATAAACTAATCAAAATCAAATATATACAAGATTATCAAATATTAAAAATCGTTATTATTTTTTTTGGTTTAAAAATAAGATTTCTATATTATGGAAAAATACTTATTTGCAAATCTATTTTAGTTCAAAAAATTGCATCAACTTTTGTTAAAATCAGAATATTAAAATGAATGTAAATTATTTCCTTAACCCAAGGATAGTTCTTAAAAATTATGTTAGAACAAACTAAGACCAATAACTATTAAATATGGTTCTGATATGAATGTCATGTAATTATAGATTATGAAAACTCTTTGTCAAATAATTTAGTGTTAGTGTACTAATATTATTTATAAAGTTGTCTGCTCAAGATTTTTATTGTGCTAAGCATCATGATAATTCAGAGATGAAGAAATAAATTAAACCATCTACAGTATTTTGAGTAACTTACCGTAATGTAATTTGCATTGATGTATGATGTGCGTAGTTCTGGTCCATCCTGTACGAGCTTGACTCTTGTGTGAGCCACTGAAAGAGGTTTTGAAAATTATTCCAACAAATTGTGGAATCAAATAAATCAAATATACAATTCCATGCTTAATTTATAAAACATTTTGAATTAAGTAAGTAGAAAATATTTAGATGATAAGTTTTTTTAAAATGGCTTAAATAAATGTAGGATTTGTGTAAATCGTCCCCAGGAAAACAAAGCCTATTTGACTAGATGTAAAACCAAGCATCTGAAAACGTCTTACGTGGTAAAATATTAGCGTATCTGTTTTTGTCCTCTTCTCCTTTAGGTACAACAGACAAACGTGGCATACGATATGGGATGGTCTGTAAAACAGGAAATTAGGATTGAACATCAGCATCAATTATTACTGAGTTTAGTCTGAATTAATGGCAGTGAGTGATAGACTGACTAATACTTACCTCAAACTTCTGGACAATATGGCAGTGATGGACTGACTAATATTTTACCTCTAATTTCTGGGCTATATGGTGGTGATGGATTGACTAATACTTTACCTCAAATTCCTGGGCTATATGGTGGTGATGAAGTGACTAATACTTTACCTCAAACTCCTGGGCTATATGGTGGTGATGGACTGACTAATACTTTACCTCAAACTCCTGAGCTATATGGTGGTGATGGACTGACTAATACTTTACCTCATGGGCTATATGGTGGTGATGGACTGACTAATACTTTACCTCATGGGCTATATGGTGGTGATGGACTGACTAATACTTTACCTCAAACTCCTGGGCTATATGGTGGTGATGGACTGACTAATACTTTACCTCATGGGCAATATGGTGGTGATGGACTAATACTTTACCTCAAACTCCTGAGCTATATGGTGGTGATGGACTGACTAATACTTTACCTCAAACTCCTGGGCTATATGGTGGTGATGGACTGACTAATACTTTACCTCAAACTCATGGGCTATATGGTGGTGATGGACTGACTAATACTTTACCTCAAACTCCTGTGCTATGTGTCTCTCACTGCAGCAGAAATCTGAGAGTTGAGTGAAGTTCATTGGGTGGCTGGGCTCAAGCTGTTTGATGGAAAACATTTTTTTGTTAAACTTTCAGTTTTATGCAATGTAATGACTAAACAAACTATAAATTCTGATTTAGTCCTTGGTACCTAGGGTACTAAGATGTTTCATTGTATATTGCTGCACAATTAATTAAGCTTAATCCTGATCATGCTCAATATTTTATTATGTTTCTGCAATATTGTAACAATACAACAACAACTTTTTATTTTCCAAATATCTTTTGGCACTGTATTAATATTTTTCAACAAAACAAAAAAATAAAACGAGAAGTAAATATTAAGCTAAATTTTTAAAAATCCTATTTTAACTTACACTGTCAGTAATTTCCTGGCCAGGATTGAACAAACCGCTGTTTGGCCTAGATTTCGTTACAGAAGAGAGCTGAATGGAGTCCATACTGCTAGAACTACAACTCCTGTTAAAGGTTGGGTTAAAAACATGGCGGTCTCTGTTGCGATGACGGACAAATATCTGGTTGGGCAATATTCAAAAACAAAAACTAAATTTAATTCTTTGGTTTAAATAAAACTTGTTTAATGGTTTATTTTTAATTAAAACAACTTTTAAAATGCACCATTAGTAGTAAATAAAACTGACCTGTATTGCCAAAAGTCCCAGACAGCAAGCCCCGCCCACCACAGCAAGTATAACAGCAACTGTCACACCCGGATCAGCGAAAGGATTTGTGTCGATCTTTTCAGTCGCTGGTTTTGAAGCATTCACGTCAAAGGCATCATAGATTCGAACATCAAGCAACTAGACAGAACCATTTTAATGAATACATTAATACATAAACCAATATAGTTAAGACGGTTAGAAATAGGCTTATGGCGGCAGGGTAACAAGTTATAACTAGTACTATTAAAAAGTCACAAAAACTGTTATAGGTATACATAAGTAGGTTATTTATATTGTTAACTTTTTATTTTGTGGATTTAAAATATGCTTACTAAAAATTTCTAATTTTAAAGGCCGTGGAAACAATTTACCTCACTTAACAAAACAAAACAAAAACTACGAACGCCTAGGTATAAACTTTAAACAGAGTAGCCACTGACTCATCGAGTAAAAATGTTAGATGTGGTTGCAGGTATAATACACTATTTAGTAACCAGTGATCTATGTTATTTCTGTACCATAAAACTCACAAGCTAACACAAAGTGTGTGTAGACCTACAATAGCTCTAAGACTACAACACCAACAGAACATAAAACAACGTTATTGTAAAATACTCACACCGAGCTAGCCGCCTGCACCACTGGAATGCTAAAATACACTAACACCTGTCCTTACCTTGCTCCTTATGATGGAATCTCGAGGGAAAGTGCTGGAGCGGAGCACCTGCCCACAGTCTAGCGTGAGGCCACGGTCGTATTGATGAGACTTGTTCACCAGGTACAGGTGAACGGAGATGTCTTCCGTGACGTCGGCACACCGCCGCTCATCCACGTTCAGCAAGAAAATCTAGAAAAAAACAAGTTTAGATTTTTTTTAAGACATATAGTCCTATGTTGTTTTTTTTTCTTTTTTTTTTTTAAATTTATTTTAGAACATGGTTTTTAGTTAAGCAATCGTTTCAAGTACGAATGGGGCCAAAGGGCAGTAACAAGCTAAAAACAAACAGAAAAGTTTGACTTACCTGGTCAGTAGTGATCTCCCTTTGACTGGCCTGCATTATCTCGACTAGCTCCCCTTTGATGGGGCTCTGCTGTTTACAGAAACTCAGCCAAGACATCCCGAACCTGAGTTCTACAAACGACAGGGAACTGTTCTGTCTAGGGAACCCTGGCAGAGAAATATCCTTTCGATTATTTTGTCTTTCGCATTTTATTCTGGAATAAACAAGTCTAACGTGGGTAATACCTTCTGAAAACTAAAGTCCTTAGCCAAATAACTACACAGCGACAGAGTGACGTTAAGGTTCTATAGAATCAGCTTCAGTAATGTTTACTGTTTTATTGATGCATCAAAGTGGGATTTTTGTTCAGCTGTTGAGGCCATGGGGGCCACACGATCCGACTTTAGCAAACATGGTTTTGTTTTGGAACGTTCACACACCGTTTAGGAAAGATTCGAACCCCGGCTACTACACAAGTTGCGAGTAATAGATCAATATACATATCGATATGTTATAGGCCTAATTTGTTTATCTATTTAAAGTTACAAGAAACAACCAACCTGGCGATTGGCTGACGTCAGAACTGATGCTGACGTCAGTAGGCATGCCGATGACGTTACTCTCTATAGTGTTTGCCATTGGTGACGTCGTATCTAGGGGCGTGTTTCCGGTTGTACTGTGTCCTCGTGTGGTGATGGTGTTGGGTGATGTCAGGGTTGTAGTGAGGAGGCTGTGAACAGGGGGCGTGGAAGAGGGGGTGTTGGAGGGTGTGGTGGTGGAGGGGGTTGGGGTTGTGGTGGGGGAGGGTGTGGTGGTGTAGGGGGTCCAGAGTGAGGTGGTTGAGGGTATTGCCGTTTTCCCATCAACCTCCGCGGTTGATTCTGTGTGTATGACCGGTGTGGATTCTGTTGTGTCCTTGTTCGAGAAGTGGGCGTCTTGTTCGTCTGTTGGATGCAACGTCTCAAGAACCGTACTCGATACAGACGGGAGGTGCACGTCGCGTGTGGGCGTGGTTGGCATTCGCGTGCGTCTGTCGCCTGGTGGGTGAGTTCGTACAGAAGGCCAGGCGGTGACGGTGTGAGCGTGTGACCTTGACACCGGGTGACCTGTGGTCCTCAGCCCACTGCCAGTTGTCAGACTGTCATCGGATATTCTGGCATGAGATGTCATAGTGTGGGTAGATACCCCGGATGTAGTGACACCACCGCCTGCCAATGTGGTCCCCCTGTTTGCAGTAGAGAAACCATCTGTTACAGTGCTGGTGATTGTTTTATCTGGCACCTCTTCACTCCGTGCAGAAGTAAAATACATATGAGAGTCTCGACTTACACCGTGTTCATTATCTACATCAGCCGTCTGATGATGGTCTGATGATCCGTCCACGATGTTTTCTTCTATATCCGTTGGGTGATGTTGAGCTTGGTAATCCACATTATTAATCTCTTCGTGTGTTACATCCTGAACATCATTGGTGTTGTTATCCACTGGATAGTGTGGCTGGTGATTGTTGTGGCTAAGATCTGGATGAAGTGATTCACTGCTCGCAGGATCCACTGTTTGCGGGGGTCTGTTTTGTGCTAGGTCTTTCTCATCATCCCTTGATTCAGTTGTATTGTCCGAGTGTCCATTCTGTTCTTGTGTAATGTCCGACTGCCCATTGTGTCCGGATGTGTTGCCCGGATGTCCACTCGGTACAAAGTCATGTGACTCCCCGGGGGTATGTGATGTTGGGGATCTAGAATCGTGTCCAGAATGTGTTGAGCCCGAGGTTACCGGACCTGTAAACTGACCAGCGTCCACGTGCAGTGGGTGTGTCACGTGGGTCATCTCCTCTGTGTGATTCCCCCCTGGGTCGGTCTGGCTGTCTGTGGGTCCGCTGGTTTCCTCAACACCAGGGGACTCGTCCACATCAGGCTCATCTACCCTCGGGCTCGCTTGGTCAGTCAGCTGAGAACCTCTTTTAGCATAGATCTCCGGGTCTTGGCTTAACTCATCGACTTTAGTACTCGTTACCATGGAAACGTTAAGCTGAGTTGATTCGGTCGACATTACAAGACCTGTCCGTTTTCTCAGTGGGATCCTGTCGTCTGCAGTGTCGTCTGCTAATTTTTCTAAACCCCTGACCCCTTCGCCTCCCAAACCCATGACCCCCTCGCCTCCAGTTAAATCGTCCTCTTGGACTGTTGCTGTTGTGACGTCATCCGTGTAGTGGCCGTCAGTTTCCAGCCAATCGTGCGTGACGTTCTCGAAGTTTCTTGCTTGTATTTCACCAGAGTTCCCGCCCTTGTCAGAGAACTCTTTTATGTTTGTCTTTTCTTCATCTTCGTAATCAGACTCGTAGTAGTCTTCACTCGCTGCCACCCCGCCCTCGTCGTTTGTAGCCACGCCCACTGCCGGCAGCGTTACGTCACCAGGGATAGACGCTGGGTCGGTTGGCATGGAGACACACGTCATAAACAATACAACTGAAAATAAAAAAATATACACTTAGCTGTTGATCCAAAATGAACGATTTAGTCACACATTAACTACAAGGATACATGTTAAATTATAAACTTTTATTACATTTACAATGTCTGTTTGCTCGTTTGTTTGTGAGTTCATTGGAAATAATCGTGTAACTTAGTTTTGACCCATTTCTAACGCAGCGACATTTCCAGATCTATTCTTCTCCAATGACAATGCAAATATATGTAATGTTTTATTTAATTAAATATTACAATAATAATTTGAAAAATTAATATAAAGATAGCTATATTAAATAATTAAAGGGGAGATAACACAATCGATCTCAATCAGCCCATTTATAACGGTGAACTGTTGGTCACGGACGACTGGTTTTTTACGGAGGGGGCAAGTAACTGTTTTTTTTAGAGATCGCGAGATACTGATCGGATTTTAAAGCAAATATTGTTAGAAATTACCAAAAAGGAGAAAATAAAACTTATTTAAAAAACCGTATAATAATAAGCTTTTAAATGCACTGATTTTTTTTTAAAACATACTACTTTCTTTAATAATGAAACTATTATTATCGTTTTCATTTGATGTTCGAAATTATGTAAGAATTTGATGTTGATGTACTTGTTTTAAATTGCAAATAAAAGTATTTAAAAAAAAAAATTACACATTTTAGAGACCAATTCTTATATCAAAGAACAAAAAACCCACTTTCTAGTTAATACGTTTTTTTTATTTATTTGTAAGTGTCTAAGTTGGGATACTTAAGAAAAATAATTGCATGCAACAGGGACTCTTCTAAAAGTATGGTTGCCATGGCAACGGCGGTCATCTTGCAAAAACCTTCTGCGGAGGTCTAAGGCTTAAAACTAACATCTATTCATTTATCAACCCTATTTTAATCAGCTGGCTGTTTTTTTATAACAAAAAGCACTCAAAATATTGTATGGTGAACTGCCATTAAATTTAACTATAAATTTTAATGGTATTTAACATATCGAATTTTTCAAGAATAGTGAAGCATGCAAGTAGTTTCCTTTAAGTACTTTAACCTAGATACACACATATAAATAAACTTATTAATTAAGTTTTTTTTTCCCGGAGGCTTATCCTTTAAATTACCTTTTCGTTTACTAATTTTATCGAATTCTCTGGAAAGTATAAAGCAATAGCTCCAGTAGAAATACACTCTAATGAATTACAAGATTTGATTACAAACAGACAGACATCTGGAATGTGATTTTTTTTAAATTGACAAAATTTAACAATTTGTTTAGCAAAGTTCTGTTTCAAAGTTCTATGTTGTTGTTTTTTTTTAAATTAGTCAACGAACTTTGAACCTGAATGTTTGAGTTTCCGTGTGTTAAGCTATTACGTGTGTTCATACATTTAATACACACGCACTTAAAATATGCTGTACTGTACGTGTGTTCGTACATTTAATACACACGCACTTAAAATATGCTTTACTGTACGTGTGTTCGTACATTTAATACACACGCACTTAAAATATGCTTTACTGTACGTGTGTTCGTACATTTAATACACACGCACTTAAAATATGCTTTACTGTACGTGTGTTCGTACATTTAATACACACGCACTTAAAATATCTTTTACTGTACGTGTGTTAATACATTTAATACACACGCACTTAAAATATGTTTTTTTTTACTGCTGGAAATTATTTAACGGATGAGCTTTTCACTTACCTAACATAAAAGCTATTTCTCTTCCGTACGCAAAGTTTCTTGACGCCATCTTTGTCTTTTTTTCTGTTCTGAAAAATAATTACAGTGTATTAGCATGGATCAATGTAGTTTATCTAATAGCGGCTGATTGGTGTGATTTTGTTTGTTTAGTGACGTCACAGCCCCAGGTCTGTAGTTATTGACACTTGTAGGTGACCTGTTTATCTAGACCGCTCACACGATGGCACGTGGAACTTAACACCGACCTTATCAGGCATGTCTGGAACTGGTGGACGAACCAGGCGAAGAAAGTGTACAGTTTCATGACGAGGGGGGGTGAGTGGGGGAGGGGGTCACGGTTTCTATCACAGTGTGACGGACAACAAAAAATCTTGTTTTTATTGACGTCTCCGTGTGTCACTATATACAAGTATCATATCAGTTGATGTTTCAAACAAGACAATACTACACACACAAGCTAAACCAACTACGTACGTTGAAGCTGATAAAAATCTAGATCGGCTGATGCCCATTAATTATTATTTTAAAACTGATTTAGTAAGTTTTTAAACAGTATTTATTATTATTAGTATTATTAATTAGGTGTTTGGAACTAATCTGAAATGATTAGTTGACTAATGACAGCACTAAAATGTAAAGTTGACTAATGACAAAAAGAAAAGCCATCCACACTCCAATGCTTTAGACAATGACAAGGGAAGCTGATCCCAACCAATAAAAACTTTGACTTACCGTAGTGGACGTGTCGAGGGTCGTTCAAGGTCAGTTAGACCAAAAGCTTTTAAACATTGTTAGTGGTGGAAATCCCTCTCAAAGTTTAGTACTTAATCCAGTCGAACATCTTCTAACACTCAACAGTCCCGCTTGTTTCACTTGAAAAGACACAAAATTCGCCGATAAGCAGGAACAAATCTCTGATTAAATCAGTCAATGATCTCCAAAGTTCTAGTGAATTAAGTTCAAGTTTTATAATCCTTATAATTCGGTTTTGTTTATTCACAACAATGTTTAGTGGTACTTGTAAGTCATAAGTGCCAAATACGTTGTAAAATGAGCACTAAAAAATAATAGTTAAATGTCTATTGGAGCATAAAAACAAGCAAATCTAAATTAGCAAACTAAACAACGAGAGCTCTATTGTAAGTTTCTTAACAAAGTTTTAGAAACTTATAAAGTGTTCGAAATTATGTACCCGTGACAGTTATTTATTTTATTCGATACCTAGCTCTATTACTATTAGCACGCACAACACAGCAGCAGGTCGTAAAGGAAATAGTTTGTTTCAATAACGAAATCACTAACTCCACCATCGGCTGTAGGAGAATTTTTTCTTCTCCATGCAGATCTAGGTGTAGTGTTGGCTCACAGTGTAAACACCAAACTGCTGCTGGGTCAAAGGTCAATTATTAATAGTGTAAGATGAGACCAGAGAAGGCGGCTAAATCTGTCAAGTGGCGTCCACGCGTCGCCATCATGCCTGGCTGGACACTTGAGAGTCAGAGTCGACCAATCTCCAGGACTTCGCCAATCTCTGGCATTCCAGGTCTCTCTACAGATGGATTGAGTCTGATATGTATGAATGTAGCAGGTCTCTCTACATATGGATTGAGTCTGATATGTATGGCTGTTGCAGGTCTCTCTACATATGGATTGAGTCTGATATGTATGGCTGTTGCAGGTCTCTCTACAGATGGATTGAGTCTGATATGTATGGCTGTAGCAGGTCTCTCTACAGATGGATTGAGTCTGATATTTATGGCTGTAGCAGGTCTCTCTACAGATGGATTGAGTCTGATATGTATGGCTGTAGCAGGTCCACAACGTTTCATCTTAAGTCGTTATGTAATTCTATCAGATCAGGCTGATCGAAGGGGTATATAGATTTGGAGAGGGGGGGGGACTATGGACACTATAGCGGCAGAAAGAGGGAGTGAATACAAACTGAGGAAGATGAAGAATAGAAATGGCATATTTTGGGCAGCAAAAAAACGGTGTAGAGAAGTGGTATGAATTTATAAATGTATAAAATTTTACAAAAGCTTTAAGACCTCCTAGGTACAATAGCCAAAATATTAGTAGACTTTGTACTTTGTATTGTCATCGGGTATGTTATCTGTCAGTGGACTAATGTCATTAAAGTAGATCTGATACTTATTCAATTCAATATCGTTGGGGCGGGAACAATATTATATAAAACCGATATTATTTCAAGTATTCTATGTACATTCTATGTACATTTAGTCAAGTCATCACTCAAATTCTGCACTGCCTCTAGGTGATTATCTCGCATGTTTTTAGCTATTAACTAAAGACTAACCGGAAGCGCTTAGCACTTAGCTGTAGTTTATCTGTACAAAGTGGTGCCGGAAGTTCAATTTTTCCAATAGCCGGCAATCGACTAGAATCACGCAGGGAGTGCACTCATATCAAACACGAAGGTTAAAAGTGCCTTCGTGTTTCAGTTCATTAGCTCAAGTTGAGGGCAAAAATAGATAGCTTTCTTTTCTTCACATGTCAACATTTACTTTTATACTACTTTATACACTGACCTTTCACTACTTAATACCCTAATCTTACACTACTTCATACTCTACTTTATTCACTGACATTACACTACTTTATCTACTGACTTTTCACTACTTTATACACGGACCTTTCACTACTTTATACACGGACCTTTCACTACTTTATACACGGACTTTTCACTACTATAAACACTAATCTTACACTACTTTATACACTAACGTAACACTACTTTAAACATTTATCTTGAACTACTTTATGCACTACTTTATACACTGAACTACTGTATAAACTGAACTAACACTACTTTATACACTACTTTATACTCATACCTTACAGTACTTTATTCACTAGTTCTTAACCTCTCCACTGGATCTTGCATTACTGCATCCACTAAATCAACCACTTCAGACAAAAACACTTACACTGTATCCACTGATATTAACATTGAACAGTTTATCCACTGAATCCAACACTATGTCCAGAAAGTCCATGAACATTTACATAACTGGACTAAAAGTATTTGAACACATTACTTAGTGTGAGCAGTTTTTCTACATGCAGCGCGTCGGTCTACACGGGCCACTGATCTAATATTTACAAAACAAACTTTGACTTAACAACCTTGGCCTTGACCTCGAAGACAAAACATTAAATATAATATCGTTTACTCGGCCTAGTTCAAAGTTCACGTACTAATCAGGTAGACCACATACACGTATATCTATGGATAGATCAAAGATAACATACACTAGGTGTTCGCCACGGTGGTTGGTGGAACAGTGTGTAGTTCGTCTGTTGGGGTTAAAGGTTAGACATAAGAGGCAATTTCCAGTTGGTGACACGGGCGATGACCCTGTGGTGACACTAGCCGCTGTAAGAATAAACGTAGTTTTTGGTGGTGACACGGACTGTACATGTGGTAACACCGACTGTCCATGTGGTGACACCGACTATGTTTATGTGGTGACACTATCCCAGTCAGAATGACCGTATGGTGAAGCTATCCCCTGTAAGAATGACCTTATGGTGACACTATCCCCTGTGAAAATGACCCTGTGGTGACGCTAGCCCCTGTAAGAATGAACGTGCTATCACATGGACCCGTGGCCCCAAGTTGTTCCCCGCCCCACAACAATGTCCAAAAGCCACGAGCGGGGATGCCGGGAGACTCAGACAATGTTTGGCTTTCGCGCTTTGTCAAGTATTTCGGTCCGGCGTCAACAGAGACCAAAACAACAAACATACATGGTAGCGGATTGTGTGGACACGGGATAGACGGCATGAACTAGGTGAAGAGGGGGGCGTGTCTTGCACTGGCCACTTTTGTCTTTTAGTGTACAATATGGCAGATCATAACACAGCTGCTTGTGGCGAGTTGTTGTTTTTTTCCGGAAGTTTTCGCTACAAAATATTTTGGATTAATACAAAAATTTCTGTTTTTTTTTTAAAGTGACTGCCTTGTTTTCATTCCAAATCTGTAAGATGGTAACAGTAAATAAAATATTAAGACATATGTTGCGTGGGATGTTATGTGGGTGGGGGGGGGGAGGGGGTGAAGTGATGACGTTCCACCACATTAGCATTTTATTTTGTTTTAATTGCAACTTTTAAATCACGTGACTGTCTCACTTGAAATATTACTGACGAAAGGGTGGGAAAAATCCTATGTGCATGTTGATACCATCAAGTCGGAAGTCATAATGACGTCCTTAGAGCGGAGGGGGGAGGGGTTGGTGGAGGGGGGGCGGTATTAAATCACGAGCAGTTTTCCGTGGGACACTTGAACTGGAGTTCACGTCGCACTGGAAGCCCCCCCCCCCTCCCCCCTCCCGCCCGCATTATTAGCGTGTCTTTCCCTAACGAGGATCTGGCACTGTTCTACGTGTGCTGTGACCGGTGACGTCAACTCCCATGTCACCAATGGCAGCACCAACCCTGACACCAATGACAGCACCAACCCTGACGCCAATTACATCACCAACCCTGACGCCCATTACATCACCAACCCTGACGAAAATTACATCACCAACCCTGACGCCAATTACAGCACCAACCCTGACGCCATCGACGCGACCATGCACGTTACAGTTAACGCCGCCCGACACATTTGACCCACCTGTCGCCACCTGTCGCCAGTGACAGCACAACTGTCATCCCTGACACCAGCCTGTCACCTGTCTGAACTGAGCAGGTATTTCACGGAACTCTCCAGAGATTCGCCGAGTCGAGTTCAGAGCTGGGCAGATAAACAACAGGTTCACCCTTCTTCCTGTTTATTCAAGGTCAAGGCAGTCTCTTACAGGTCCAGGCACTTGAAATCAGTGTCAGTGAGACTGACTACGGTGACAGCGTCACTGACTACAGTGACAGTGACACTGACTCGACTGACAGTGACACTGACTCGACTGACAGTGACACTGACGACAGTGACACTGACGACAGTGACAGTGACACTGACTATACTGACAGTGGCACTGACTCGACTGACAGTGACACTAGCTACAGTTACAGGATCACTAACTCGACGTGTCAGTGTTATGACCGGCTCCTTTTGTAAACTACGGGTTTT